GGTGAGGGATAGAGAGGTAGTGTTTAATGGATACAGAGTTTCAGTTTTGCAAAATGAAAACATTCTAGAGATCCGTTGCAAAACTATGTGAATATAGTTAACACTACTGAATTGTATACTTTAAAATGGTTAAGATGTTAAATTCTATGTTATGTGATTTTTACCACAATTAAAAATGAAAAAAAAAATTAATTTACCATCTGCACAGCCTTCCCCTCACCCCAAGTCTAGTGCAGTTGCTGAAATGATTCTTGGTATTTTCTCTTCTTTCTCCGGCTAACATGTTAAGTTGCATCAACTGATCTTTTCCCAGACATTATCTGAACGAATGAACATGTGGACACACCATTATTTAACAGATTCCTAATACAGTTTGGCATGAATATTAATAAATCACAATCTTTCCACAATCTTACTGGTACATGGCAATTATCATAATGCAAAGTTTTTTCTTAAAAAAAAGCTTACTGAAGCAAACATAACATAAAATTAATCATTTTAAAGAGGCATTCAGTACATTCCCAAAGTTGTGAAACCATCACCTCTATCTTGTTTCAAAACATTTTCATAAATTCTAAGTAAACCTCGTATCCATTGAGCTGTTTCTCCCCACGTCCCCTTCCCCTCAGACTCTGGCAACCAGCGACCTGCTTCCCGTCTCTATGGATTTATCTCTTCTGGACATTTCCTATAAACGGAATCATGATATGTGACCTTGTGTGTCTCTCTGGCTTCTTTCACTTAGTTTGGAGGTTTATCCGAGTTGGAGTATATATTAGTACTTCATTCCTTTCTATGGCTGAATAACATTCATTGTGTGGATATATTATTTTGTTTATCCATTGATGGACATTTGTGTTGTTTTTACTTTTTAGCTATTATAAATAATGCTGTTCTGAACATATTATATACAAGTGTTTGTGTGAATATGTTTTAATTTATACTGGGGATATACCTAGGAATGGAATGGCTGGTTTATAATGGCAATTCTTTTTTTATTATTATTTTAATTTTTATGAGTTTATTTGAGCCAAACCAATGACATATCCTGGAGAGCAAGATCTCAAATTCTCTCATGGCAATTCTATATTTAACATTTTAAGGAATCGCCAAACTGTTTTCCAAAGTGACTGGATCATTTACATTCCCACCAGCAATGTATGAGTTCCAATTTCTCCACCTCCTCGTCAACACTTGTTAATGTATGTCTTTTTTCTTTAGCCATCCTAGTAGGTGTGAAGTGGTAACTCAGTGAGGTTTTGATTTGCGTTTTCCTAATGACTAATGAAGCTAAGCATCTTTTCATGTGCTATTGGACATCTGTGTATCTTCTCTGGAAAGATGTGTATTCAGATTCTTTGCCTATTTTTTAATTGGATTATTTGCCTTTTTATTGTGAGTTGAAAGTGTTCCTTATATATTCTAGATGCGACCCTTATCAGATACATGATTTGCAAACGTTTTCTCACATTTGGTGGGCACTCTTTGGAGCAGAAAAGTTTTAAATTTTGTTAAAGTCCAAGTCATCTGTTTTCGCCCTTTGGTTACTTGTGTTTTAGGTTCATATCTCAGTGACTGATTCCAGGGCCGTGGCAGGGAAGATACAAGATGAATTTGGAGAATACTGTAGTACCAGAAAGTAAGGAAGTCCTTAAAAAAGCAAAAGGATGGGGCATGTCAAAGAGATAGGAGAGCCAACTGAAAGGGCCCCCAATGACCAAAATCACACAACTTGAACAACAAAGTAAATATAATATTGGATAATAACCCAATATTATATTTAGTCCATTAGTCCATAGTGAAATAAATAACTGGATAAATAAACAAACGGGGGAGAAGGGACAACTCTTCCTTACAGAAGTATTCCAGTTAATCAATGGAGAAAGAATGAGGGAACTAGAAAATCACTATTAGAATATCACAGTAAAAATTGCCTCAGGCGAGATTCACGAATGGATGTGAAAATCAGTGGTGAAAGTTTGAGAAGCAAATGGATATTTGCATAATCTCAGAGTATCTCATCCCAAGTAGTTATGAATTACTAAGGGAAAAAGTAACGTGATGGTGGAGAACGCTGGTGCTGTGTGCCAGGATTCTCCACTGTCCGATTACACTTCTTTGTGCACGTCGCCTTAGTCAAGTGATCATCACAGACATCGAATCAGGTGCCTCTGATACGGTGCACTGGGAAGGCACATGACTTCTGTGCTCAATCCAATCATGAGAAAACACCAGACAAGCCAGACTGAGGAGCATTTGATAAAATAACTTCAGTGCTCTTCAAGTGTGCCAGGGTTATGAAAGACCAGGAAACTCTGAGAAACTGTTACAGATTGGAGGAGGTTAAGAAGACATGACGAATATGTCCCACATGGATCCTTTATGGGATCCCGGAACAGAAAAGAGACATTAGAGGAAACACCAGTGAAATCCAAATAAAGTCTGTACTTTCGTCAATAGTATCCTGCCAATGTCAGTTTTCTAGTTTGGATCATTGAACTGTAGTTGTGCAAGAGGGTCACTGTCGAAGGGTGTGTATGGGAATGCTACTATTTTTGCAGTTCTTTAAAGTCTGGAATTATCCGAAAATTTAAAAGTTAGAAAAGTCAGTGTAAGAGGGGTATGGGGATGCCCTCTGTCTGGAATGGCTGGCTCCCAACCCCCTCCCACCAGCCGGCCCCCTCCTACCGTAAGCCAGATCCCATTCAGCGGGAGACCTGCCCATTGGCTCCTGCAGCATCAATGCAGGGATGCCTGTGGCAGCAGTGAGCGGCTGCACTGAGCTCTTGGAGCTCCTCTCACATCACGTGAGCAATCTGCTGTCTCCCAATCTGGACCATCGAGGGGCCCACCAAACTGAGGTGGGGGCTCCCAGGGACCCACAGATGCTCTCTTGCAGATGGAGAAGGGGCAACTTCCCTGCTAGGCTGGGAGAGTTGAAGAAACCACCAGGTGGAGCCTTTAGTCTAAGGGCTTCTCTGGGGTCTCATTTAGACCCCACCGTGCACAAGGTCGTTTTTATTTTCCCCATTTTGCAGATGAGAACCCTAGGGCACAGGGAAGTTGAGCAATGGGCATGGCCCACACAGCCAGAGAGTGGTTGGCTGGGCTGGACCCCAAGGGTGTGCAGTGCCTGTGCTCTTTCCAGAGGGGTCCTGTCAGAGATGACTCCTCTCACCCCCAGGATTGCAGCTCTGAAGGTCAAGGCTACCCTCCAGGCCCTCAGCTTTGCACACACCTCCCTGAAGCACGCCCCCACCCGGTGCCTGGAGCTTCCTGCCTCCAGACTGGGAGCCCCTGAGGGCAGCTCTGGGTAATAGTCTATCATAGCCACCTTGTGCAACAACACTCTCCCCGCCCTCAGGAGGCCTTAAGTCCTTTCAGGTGTCTTCCTTCCGCCCTATACCTCCTGGATGCCATGCCCTGGGCAGACAAGGCCTCAGGAAGCTCCTTTTGTGAGAGTCAAGTCCTTTGCCATCTGATCTCATTTCAGGCCCTCTCAGCTTTGGTGATAGTAGGTAAGCCTTGTACTGGAGCCCTGCCCCCAGACCTCGCCCAAGAGGCCAGCCTCCCATTCTCCCCATGACAGTCCCTGCCTGCTCCCTCCCTCCTTCTTCCCCCACCCAGCACCCTCTCCTTCACAGCAGCCAGGGTTACCCCAACTGCTGGCCTGGGAGCCCACGAGTGAGTGGGGGCCTTGTTCTTCTCTGATAGCATGCCGTGCTGTGGAGTTCCCAGTGAAGGTTAAACTGGTTGCGAAAACACTTTAGCCAGGCGACAGTGACACATTTAGTGTCATCAACTCAAGTGATTGGGCTAAACCTCAGGTGAAATGAAGAAAAAACCGTGGGTCACGATGGCGTTTGGTAAATCTCAAGAGGAAAGAAACTTTTTTGTAGCAGCTCTTTGAATTTCAAATGCCGGGCTAGTAAGAAAGTTCTGGAAGGACAGAGACCATTTATATTTTACGTAGCAGAAGCCCAGAGAATAGGGCACTGTTTAAATTTACCAAAATATGTCTCTTGATGAATGCTGTGTTGATTGCTTTCCATTTTTCCCCACCCCCAGACCCACTCTGCACGCCCTCCATCCTGGCTGTGCGCAGGGGCTGGCCTCTCGCCTTCCAACAGGCCCCCTTGCCTTGGCTTTGGGCTGGGTTCAGCGAATGGGCGGGGTGGCAGGAGGGCGGGAGGACGGGCAGGCGCGTTCACTCTTCCAGCTCCTTCCCTGCTGGGCCATGCGGCTTGCTGGGTCCTCTCCACAGCTGCAGCTTTTGCCCAGTTTGTCACAGCCCCTTTGCTTTGCCCCCTCAGGGTAGCAGTGGCTCTGCAGAGTCCTTCATGGGATCCCTTCGCCCTGTCCACACCTGCGCACACAGCCCTCTCCTTCAACTCCTGGCCCCCCTGGGCAGTCCCACCACTTCCTCCAGGACTGCGTCGATATAGCTCCTGAGAAAGGGCACGACGCTTCCGGACACATTCAGCTTAGCCTGGAGAGCCTCATTCAGTCTCCCAGGGAGACAACCTCAACTGCAAAGCCTGTAAAATAATCCACAAAGCTTGCAAATGCTGGCTGTTCATTTGATCTATCGACAGCTTGCTGCAGGAGATAGAATTAGCTTGCTAAAGTTGTAAGCGTTCTCATCTAACTTAACAAACTTGTGTTAGCCGATCCAGCACTATTTTGCCTATCAAGGAGATTTTTCTTTTGGGCCCATTTATAACTCTAACACTCAAATTCAAACCCTCGCCCCTCTCAAAGAGCTGCGGCAAATAAGATTCTTTCCTCTCAAGACTCAAATTCAAATCTAAACAAGGCAGCTCAGCCCCGGATTTCTTCAATGCCAGGCCCTCTGAGGCCCTCATCAGCCACTCACACCTGAGTCAAATTAGCTAGAAGCCCCCCGGGAGCAGTATCAAGGCCAAGCCCTGGCACCAGGATGTCCACAATCCAGGAGAGGCTTGGGAAGCTCAGGACAGAGGAGTAGACGACTGCAGGGATCCTGGACCTCAGTCACAAACTTTATTGTCTTGAGCACAAACTCGCCACACTTTAACAATTCCACTTGGGGGAGGGGAAGGGTGAGGGGAGGGCTTAGGGAAGGGGCATGGCTGAGTCCACACTGGGCAGGCGGAGATGCTCACTGGGAAATCGCTTTGTTGACACCTGTCACCTGCAAGCCCACAGGGAGAGGGTACTCAGCTCTTCCCAGTGTGGGCCTTTGGCTGTTAGTAAACTAATCAGCGCCTCCTGTGGGTGGGCGAGCTGCCTGATTTTGCTGGAAATAGTATTTGACTCTGGGTTAGGCCGGTAAAGCATCGCTTCTACATGATGTTAAAACCGCATGCGAGAGCTACCGAAAGCCGGTGGGGAGAGGGCAGTGGGCCGATGAGACTTAACTGGCTGCCTGCAGGATGGGCACCACCCCCTGTACCTGGGAGCCTTCAGAGGCTACCTGGGCGGCGTCATGGGCTGCATTCCTGTCCTGACGTACCTCGGGAACACCATGATGAGGCACCAGGCTTTCCCCTACAGCCCCAGGCAGGGGAGGGCCCCAAGTGAAAACTCCCTGAGCTGGGGGAGTCGGAGTAGGCCCTCTGCGTTATGCTGCGGCATAAGGCAGTAACCTGCAGGCCCTCCAGCTCTAGAGGTGGGCGTTGTTGGGGCAAAGCTGACTTTTCCCACTGCTCATAAGCCTGGAGAAACTCAGCAGATCTTGAGAGAAAGAGGGAGAGACGGTTAGATTTTTCTTGCCAACAATATCCGTTAGGTTCTTTTCCTGGCTACGGGAGATAAGGCTTAAAAAGCTCTGGGCAGGTACGTGCCTGGTAAGACTGAAAGGGGCTGTTGGTACCTGTGCATTCTGATGTGTGTGCCTGGCACACACATCTCTGAACACTCACCCACATGTACCTGGGTGTGTATGTGCCACATTGCAAGAATGTTTGTGGTGTGTGCAGGCACAGCCCTGCCAGGCCTGGGGCTCAGTCCTGGAACCCAAGCGTGTGCATCTACATGGCCTGAGTGTGGCTGACAACAAACACCTCACCTGCATGGCCACGTGCGCACGCATGACCCCTCTGAGTGTGCATGCGCCAAGGGTCAGTGGCTGTATACATCAGGGACTACACGGGCACACCTGCAGGTGGGAGGCCCAGTTATGGAACATCTAGTCAGCCCAGGGGACGCTGTATTACTGACCAGTCAAAACACACCTGCAGCCCTGTTCTGGGTAGCCCTGCAGTCCCCTGCTCCAGCTGCAAGCCAGGTCAGTACGGTGGGGGGCGGGGGAAGGCGTGGCGGGCTTCCAAACTTTCCTAATACTGTGGCTCCTGGCCTTGGTGACCACCCTCTGGCCAGCAGCTTGAAGTTCTGTGTGTGTGTGTGTGTGTGGGTGGGTGGGTGTTAGTGTTGGGAGAAGAAAGGCCTTGCCCTCCAACACCTTGAACCTGGGACCTTGCTAGGCAGACAGGCTGAGGGGAACTTGCACTCTTGCTTGAAGGAGACTCAGGATGTGGGGACAAGCAGCCTCAGGGACTGCCGTGGCCCAGAAGTGAATGGAGAAAAGGGGGTCTCCACCTGGCTCCTGAGGACTGGACTGCCCACCTCGGTGCCTGAAAGGAGAAGCTGGACATCCTCTGATGCTTTCCTGGGAAGATGGCTCTCTGGGGTCTGAGAGGGACCAAGGAGAAGGAGGGGAAGAAAGGGAGGGCAGAGACACGACCGGGGGCCAAGATGGTTCTGGGGAGAAGGGCCTGGCTGGATTGCCTCAGTCTTCCCACACACGCTCCAAAAACTGCCGGGGTGTCCTGGGTGTCCAGGCTGAAGGTCCCGGGGGCCAGTCCAGGGCTGTGCCACTTTCTGTGGAAGGTCGTGCTTGAGGAATCCTCCTGGTCCGGTGGGGGGTCGGGGTGGGGGATTGTCCACGGCGGAGGGTATGTTACTGTTACAAACACTGTTCTCATCTCCAAAGCGACAGTCCTGGCCCCTGCCTGGAGGCGGGCGCCGCTGGGGCAGAGCGGAGGGGCTCTGGTGCCGACCGGGCTGTTCCAAGGTGTCCCTCAGGGTCAGTGCTTGTCCTGGAGAGAGCAAGGGCTTGATCAGCAAGTGTCTACAGAAATGGCAGAGTGGGTCAGGTAAAAAAGAGGGTGGGGGAGGGCTGGGGGAGGAGAGACCACACGTGCCAGGTAGAGGGGACAGCATTGGCAAAGGCCCTGGGGCAGGAAAAGTCTCTTTGCTGTGTGCTTGAGGCATGGTAAGACAGGAGGTGGGGTGGGAGCTGTTTAGAGGAAGTTGAGGAGAAGAGGCAAGAGCAGGTGGGTTTATAAAGAGCCCTGAGTGCCTGTGTAGAGACTGGAACCAAGAAAATGAAAATTGGAGGTAAGACTCCAGGCCTTGGTTTTCATGACTGTAAAATGGGATGACCCCATGTGCCTCCTAGGATTGCTGGGAGGACAAAGCCACATAAGGTACCAATATCAGTTCCCAGGGTGGCTAGCACGGGTGGCTACTCTGCAGACAACCCCGTCACTCCTCCTCCGTACAGCTCTGTGCCTCTGCCCTGCTTGCAGGTCGGATGTAGGGTCTCCTCCTCTCCCCAACCCATTTCTCCTTTTGTCCCTCACCCACAGGCCTGGCCCTTGGCAGATTCTGTGGCCAAGATTCTTCTGTCTTCAGGTGAGCCCCTGTGGCCGGGGGTTCTACTGTCTGGGTTGGAAGGATGAGTTCCTTCCCCCGCTCCAGCCTCACCTGCCCAAGGTCACACAGCAAACTAGAGACAGAGGCAGAGCTGGGCTCTTCTGACCTAATCAGGCTGGCACCTGGGCCCCCGGTGGGTGCCTATAACACTGTCAGTGAAGGCCAGGGGTTAACTGTTGGGTGGGGGCACTAGGCACCCCCTTAAAACGTAATAGTTGAAGCAAAGACATGACAATCATGGGAGTCACAGGCACCCTTCAGGCCCACAAAGTTCTAGAAAATCAATTTTACACCCACGATTTTATAAAACATAGAATTTACAGAGATTGCTTAAGAGAGAAAACGCTAATGCTTAGAATATTCAGTGAAAACAGAAGATGAAATTGAACATAGAGTATGTGTCCTATTATATTAAAATGCTGTATGTGCTGCTTGCATCCATCACAGTGAAGACTGGCTCAGGCAAGAGCCATCCATGGAGGCTACATTGGAGGTGGAGTGGGGATTCAGTGAGGAACAGGGTGTCAGTCTCAAAGTCTCTCTCCACAGACTACTCATTAGGAAAAAACCAATAACTATACAGTGGAGAAATCAGATAACTCCTTGTTTGATCAAGTGATCAAAATTCACATCAGGAATGAAGGGCAGATGGATGTCACGCCCTCAGTTGGGATGCCAGGAAAAGGACACAATATTGATGAAGTGCTCCGGCCTGAGATGTAGAACCTGGCTCCGATTATGAGAACCCATCAGACAGACTCAAAATGAGGACTCTTCTATTAAAAAAAGGAGTGGGGACTATATTTCAAAAATGCCAGTGTCATAAAACTCAAAGAGAAATTAAGAAAATGTTCCTGATTATAGGAGATTAAAGAGACATAACGATTAAATGCAATAAGCTAACTCAACCTTCGAGTGAATCCTGTACTGAGAGGAAAAAGATGGAAGATGCTCCTAGGTCAACTGAAGAAAATGAGTATGGAGAATAGATTGGATATAACTCTTGTGTCAACGTTACAGTTGCTGAGATAGATAACTGTTCTGTGATTATGGAAAAGTATGTCCTTTATATCAGGAGATATAGACTCAAGTGTTAAGAGCCACGACACATGCAATCATACTCAAAAGGCTGAGAAAAAAATTATAGGTATTACATACATATCTTCATACAAAGAGTAAAAGATAAGCAGATGGGGCAAAATGTTTACAGTGTTATGAGGGAAAAGATAAAATGTTACTATGTTATAAGGGAAAAAGTATATGAAATTCTAGGGACTATTTTCATTCTTGCAACTTTTTTGTAATTTTGAAATTATTTCCAAATAAAAAGTTAATGTATACACGCACACGTACATACATACATATATACATAAAACAGTTTCTCATTATTCACAGTAGTTATGTTCTGTAAAGTCATCACCAATGCTGAATGAGTGAATACTGCCATGGATCCTGGGGGAAATACAGGGTTAGGTTCCTACGAGCCTCTGATCATGTTTTCGTCAACTAATCGACACATAACCATGTTTTATGTGTGAGTCTGTGTAATATATATTGTTGACTCATTAACAATGAACTCAAGGCCAATGGTACAGAAGGTCCTTGAATAACATTGCTTCATTATAATATTGATGAGAAAAAAAAAATCGATTCCCAGCCAGGGCCACTGTCTCTGGGGCATGCGCATGACCTCCTCTGTCTGCGTAGGTGCTCTCTGCGCACTCTGGTTTTGTCCCACGTTCCAAAGATGTGCACATGAGGTTCACTGGCATGTCTACATTGTCCTAGTCTGAGTGTGGGTGTGAATGGTGCTGCAACGGAGTGGTGTCCTGTCCAGGGTGGGTCCTGCCTTGCACCCTGAGCTGCTGGGAGAGACTCTGGCCACTCTCCACCCTGATCTGGAATGAGAGGGTTGGAAAATAATTAGCTCGTTTGTTTTTATTCATCTTTTTAAATGTATACATAGCTCACACTTATTTCGATGTTTAATATTAGAAGTGTTTGGGGTCTTTATTTAGAATTTTGGTGATGTTTTCGTGACCAGAACTATGACGCAAGAACTTAACTCTTGCTTATATTGATTAGCCAACGGTAAAACTGGTTTGTTGTATGTCATTTTGTTTAGAGTTGCAGTTTCCAAAAACCTATCGACAATGATGAGTGAGGACTTATTGTATAACTCATGTCTGAAAGAGGCTTATTTAACACACAGTTTCTTCGTAAGGCATACAGCTGTCTTCTTGTGCTTAGCACATTAGACAGCACTTCAGCACTGTCATTTTAAACAACAGAAATCCCCAAGAAAAACACAAAAATATGAAAAATGTGGCACTAGATAGACTACAAAAAGGATATGTTTACAGAATGAAACAAGAAGGCAGAGCATAGCCCTGTCACCCCTCACCTGGGAACACGTGGGTCTAGCAACTCAAATTTTTCTCTGCTCTGCACATGTCCATGAATGACCATAAAATTGCTGCAAATACTGATTTTGAGGTTACAAGTAAATTTTAGTGAGTAGGCAAGTTCGCAAATATGGAATCTGTGAATAATGAGAATTGATTGTACCTGTATATGTATATGCACATACACACACATGCTTAGGAAAGTTCAGGAAGGAGATCACTTAAAAACATTAACCTTATTCCTCTCTGAGTAGGGGGCTACTGGTATTTTCAAATATATATATATAAGTATATATGAATGTGTGTGTGTGTGTGTGTGTGTGTGCGTGCGTGTGTGTGTGTGTGTGTATATATATAAATATATGAATGTGTATGTGTGTGTGTGTGTGTGTGTGCGTGTGTGTGTGTGTGTGTGTATATATATATTTCCAAAAGTTTCCCAAAAAGCATGTATTACTTTATAAGTTTCTTTCTTTCTTTCTTTCTTTTTTTTTTTTTTTAAAGGAAACAAGGTTTAAACAGTAGGATGAATACTGAATCAAGGTTGGAGGTTTAAACAGTAGGATGAATACTGAATCAAGGTTGACTGCACCAGTCCCTCTGTGAGAGACCCTATTGTAAAGCCTTTGCATAATGCATCTTTGTATTTTTGGTGACTTTTTGGCATTTTTTTCTGCCTATACAGGAGAGCTGTGGGAGTGCCAGGGTGTCTCCCAGGGGCCAGGGTGCCCCTTACCTCTTGTTTGTGGGCCCTGTCTTGCTGGTGGATGCCGTTTGCAGAACCGGAATTGGTGATGGCCTGTAAGAGTCATGGGCAGATGCTGAGCGAGGTTCATCAGGCAGCAGTTCCTGGTTCGTCCACTAGATGGCGAGGTCTTCCTGACAGAATCATCTCAGGCTCCAAACTCTGACCGGAGCTCTTCAGAATGGGGTCCCAGGACCCCGGAAAACCAAGGCTCCCAGAGCAGGGCTGCATCTCTCCCCTAAGTCTGAGATCCTCATGATAAAGCCATGTTCCCTTTGGTTCCCAAAGGGCATGCCTGTGTCTCTCCCCTTCAGACCAGGGTTCCCAGGACAGGGCCATGTTCCACAAGGACATTGCCTCCTGGCTTGCCACCTGGTCAGCCCAGCCCTGACCCATGGCTCACCGGACACTTGTCAGGACAGCTCCTCATAGCCTCCATGAGCTTCTCCACCTGCTGAGCCTGGTCCAGGGCGTCCCGTAGTGCATCCTCCGTGCTCATCAGCTGGTGCTGCAGTCGCAAGAGCTCAGGCGCGGATGGGTCAATGAGGGAGTAGCGCCTCTGATCTGACAGCGACTTCTCTCTGTCCTGGAAGCAGCCAGAGAGAGGAAGAGTGTGGGAGTGGGAGTGCGCATGTGTGTGTGTGCACGCGTGTGTGTGTGTGCATCGCGTGTGTGTGTGCACGCGCGTGTGTGTGTGCACGCGCGTGTGTGTGTCAGGGGAAGGTGGCCTCTCCTCTAGGCAGGAAACTCTCTGGCTCCACCTCATCTCTGGGCAGGTCCTGAGCATCAGGGGACGTCCCTCAGTCCTCCCTCTTCCCCTGAGAGTCTTCACTGAAGCATTTGCCCTGGCCCTGGCTCTGAATTCCCAGGCTCTGTCAGATGCTTCACACGCTCCAAGTCCCAAAATCCAGGCTCCTCCTTTCTTTCCTTCCACTCTCTCCACACTGTCTTATGTGGGTCCCTCCTCTTCACCCCCAGACCCACAGCCTCACCTCATCTCATCTCTTACCCTCCAGCCATCTGACTCTCTCTCGCAGTGCCCCCTCTATCCCTCCTGCCCTACCCAACAGGACGCAGCTGCCCCATAGATCATGGTCCCCAGAGACACACCTGCCTCATTCCCACACAAACTTGCCCCCTCTTTCCTGACAGTCATGTGTGAGTCCCCACAGCAGGACCCTGAACAAGGTGCTGCTTTCTGGTTGATTACTTCCCTGGATGGGGAACTCGCCACCCTGCAGTAGCCCATCCTACTTCTGGATAGGTCAGACTCAGGAAGTCTCCCTTTGCACTAGCCGACCACAATGTCTGCAAAAGCAGCCGCCCAGGGCCCCTCCACCAGCTGTGTTGCTGACCCTAGGGGGTTTTGAACTCTCTCTGTGGCTTGGCTGTTCCTGGGGAGGCTCTAGGAAGTTACTACCACTCTCCATGGCCTGACAGCAGGGCAGTTGCAGCCCCACCCTGGCACTCCCCTGCCCCCAGACCAACCCCTCCCTCACGTACCAGCCCTGTTAGCTTTTCACGCAGGCCACGGATGTCATCCTTGAGTTTCTGCTCCTTGATCCGCCACTCAGCCTTGTGGACCTCCCGACTCAGGTCCCTCTCGGGCCCTGGGGAGTGGCGATTGGCCTCCAGTAACAATACCCGCAATTCATTCAGGCTCCTGGAGGGGGTGGGGGATGGGGGCCACAGGGGAGCCACTGTCAGCCCTGGCCCCTCTGCTTCCACACTCCAGCCATTTGCTAAGTGCCTAGCGACGGGCCTCTCCGACGGGGACCCTGGCTATTGAAACATCATCTGCATCAGCAGAAGCCAGAGTGGAAACACAAGGCATGAAACCATTCGACCACAGCCCAAGAGGGGCCAGGACTTAGGGACAGACAGTCCAGAAGACTCGGCCTTTCCTAGAATGTTTTTAAAGTTTTTTTAAAAAAGAAAGTATTTGTTTAACTAAAAATATAAGCGAAAAGCAAAACAAAATATTCATCCAAGAGAGCTTATGTAGCAAGGCATTTTAAATGGCTGATATCAAATGAGTTGGATTTCCCATGTCAACTCTTATATTAATCGACAGTAGCTGATGAGAATGACTCTAAGGCCACATCGGGGCTCTGCAGAAAAGAGTACGGTGGTTAATTAGCAATGTCTGCCATCAGTGCAGAAAAAGAAATTAGGACGTACTCCATTATGCCTTTTCCCTTGCTTGTATCTGCCACAGAAGAGAAGAAAACACTCTTACTAGGTGGCCATGGGTAGTTGAGAACAAAGTGAAAGTATGCTGGTACTGCCCCTTTCCCTTTCTTCTTCCTTCCTGCTATGAATGTGATGACTGGAGCTTCAGCAGCCACCTTGTAACCATGAGGGAATGACCAAGAGGGCCACAAAGGTGTTAGGACTGATATTTTGAGCCACTGAACTAACTGCCAACCATAGCTACTCCCAGATTTCCTGTTGCATGAATAAAATAAATCTCTTCATTTAATCTGCCAACATATTCTTACCTGATCTCCTATTCCCATCGTAAGCACCTCAGGAGCATGGAGTAGTTCATGACAGCCTATTTCAATCAAGAAAGGCTTCAAGCAAGAGATGAGCTGTGAGCTAAGCCTTGAAGAATGGACTGGACTTACTGAAACTGAGGCAGGATAGACAGCCTAGGGATGTTCCCTGCTCCCCTCTAGGATGCGGCTCGGGAATTTTTTCCTTAGTCCCTTACTCAACCTTCTCTCTGTTTTAACTCCAAGAGAGTGGGTGTGAGAAATAAGGCAAGGCCTGGAGACAGAGTAGATGGCCTTGGGCTGCCTCTTCCCTTCCAGGTGACACAGGAGACCAGCCAAAACCAGGAGGCAGGATGGATATGCGACAGCCCCTCCCCTCCAGGATAAGGCTGTGCCGTCTTTCCTTTGCCCTTTGTTCAGCTTCAGCTAATCATATCATCGTAATATCACCTGCATGGCAAGTACCACATCTCCAGGCCCCGCCCCCCAAGGAAAATGAAAGCCCTCAGGGAGACTCGCTGTATGACTGCATTTCTCTCTTAAGTGTGTACTTTTGCTTTAACAGACCTTGAGCTTTCCTGCTTGCTGTTTGTCTTGTCCTTGAATTCCTTCTTAAGGCATAAGACAAGAACCTGGTCACTGGATCTGGATCGGGGTCCCTTTTTAGACTCCCGCCCCACAGAATTCTCTGGCATCAAATGTCCAAAAAGGTGGTAAGAACTGCATGAGTGATGAGGTGGAGGAAGGAATGAGCTGGCTGATAGCAGAACGACAGACTCCTCAGAGGAGGTGAGACTGGGCTAAACACTGAGAACAAAATATCGGATTTGGATGGGGGAGGGTGTGGGGAGCAAGACAGCAGTGGAGCCTTGATGGAGAGGCCTGGCTGTTCATTAATTCGTGCTGGGAAGGAATGTTGCTCAGTTGCACCTGTTTATCTCCCTCTTGGGTGAGGCCAAATTTTCTAGAGAGGTGCTAGATGTGAGGCAAATCTAGAATAGAAACTCCCATTTTGTACAACAGACTTACAGGAGGGAAGAGAAGGCGACAGCATTTCCTTTATAAAACATGCTTGTGCTTCAACAAGATTCCTTTAAATCAGGGCATGAACCTCAAATGCTTACAGGTGCTCGCCAGCAATGGCTGGTTGTTACCATATTGGAAGTCAGCCTAGTGTTGTCAGATCTTCTAATATTTTAAGGGAATCTGGAAAAATCTAGATTTTTATGTGAAATTTTCTGATTTTTAAGTGGTAATCTATTTTTTAAGCCTCATATGGGTCACACAAACCATGTCTATGGACTGGAACAAAGAACCCTCAAAGTATGGTACAAAGAACCCTCAGGGGTCGCCAACACCTTTTCAGGGGGTCCCTGGGTCAAAAGTATTTTTACAATAATTGGAAAAGTATTTTCACTGTCATTCCTCATGATCATACATTAATTTTTTCCTGGGGCCATGTGGCATATTAATTATTTGAAAAGGATATTAAAATACACTCTTCTCATGTCTCGACTCTATTGATGGGTTTTACAGTTCATTAAAAAACCTCAAATAAGATGATTGTTTTTTTTTTTAAAATATGCTCTTCTCCAGCTATATATCTGTTTAAGGCCAGGTTTTCATAATAGAGTTAACCAAAACAACACATTACAAAGACTGAATATGCAGAAGACATGAGAATCCAGCTGTCTTCTATAAAGCCTAATGATCAAAAAATTTACACAATGTTAAACAATGCCACTCTTCTCACTAAATATTTTTCATTTTGGAAAACAGCTACTTTTCATCAAAAGCATGTTATTTATGTTAAAAACAATTGGTTTATTATTTTTAAATGGATTCATAAATATCTTTAAATTCCTCAGTTTTAATTTCAAATATGGTAAGTAAAGAATAAATAAACGAAAGCTCTTTGGGAATCCTCAATAATTTTAAAGAGTTTAAAAGTGGTCCCTGAGACCAAGAAGTTTGGGAAGCACTCATCTTTTCTATAAGCTCTGCTTGGAGAACTGTGTTAAGAAGGATTCTGAAACTTCATATGAGCATAGCAGAGGGGAGTACAGTTATCACTGGTGATGTTGGCCACCTGTCCCACCCAGTCTGTCCTTGCCTAACTCTGGAGAACACTGGCTAATGTCAAGTGGAGTTAAGAGTCAGGGCCAGAGGGAGGACAGCTGGGTGATGGGGTCAGGCAGGTCTGAGCACACAGCCCATGGCTGACTCACCGCTCCTTCCTGAGCAGCTCCTGGCTGATGAGGACCAGCTGGCCTGAGGCATCGTGGGTCTTCCGGGACACGGTCTCCAGCTCCGCCTCCAAGCGCCGCTTCTCCTTCTGGAGGGCATCTACCTTCTTCTCTCCCAACTTGCACTTGCTCTCCAGTGCTGAGGGTCAGCCAGCAGGAAAGAGGTAGAGAGTCAGGATTACCATGGGAATCTGCCTCACCTGAGGGCCAAGGCCCGGGCAGAGAGCTGTTTTTCTCGGGGGGGCGAGCGGGTCACAGTGACACATCTACTGAATGAGTTTCTCTCATCCTGCAGAGCCAGGCAGCTAGAGGCCGAGAGAAAAGCCACAAAAAGCAGACCAGGACTCCCAAGCACAGCAGCCCAGGCCCTGGGGTGGCGAGCAGAGCACCCTTCCCAGGACAGGATTTGGCGTTACACTGCTGCCTGGAGAGAATCTGAGGTCAATGGACCTTTGTTGGGACCAATTATGCCACGTGAACGTGATGGGAACTGGAGAGAACTGGGGGTGGGAACCATTTCTCAGGATGGGGGTTGTCTCATGGACACCACCACTGGCACTCTGGTGGAAAAGAAGCAGGGCCAGTTTGTCACCAAATCACAAATTCCAGACCCCTGGCTCTCCTCAGGCTCCCCCTCTGTCTGTCACTTCCCCTGTGCCTTGCTCTCTGCTTTAACTGGCATTCTTCCCCCTCAGTTCTAAAATCCAGGTATTTCCTCCACGGGTTGGGGACGATATACTGTATCAAAGTGGCCTCTGAAAAACCAAAAAGTTCTGATGGATTTCAGAATGCAGAGCAGCTTCTAGTGAGAGAAACTGGCTGGGGACCCCAATCATATTACAGACCAAGGGTGGAAGTCTGGTGTCGGTGAACTGACCCAGGCCACTTTCTCCTCCAGGCAGAGTGCGCGAAGGCATCCTGACCCAGGTGCCACACTCCACTGGCACACAAAGCCCCCGCATCTGCCCTCCATCAGGGAAACTTACCACTTACTTGGGCCCTGAGCATCTCGGTCTGCGATGTCAAGGCTGTCACCTCTTTGTCCCTCTTGTTCAGCTTGTCCTGCAGGCCTAGGGGGGAAAGGAGAGATAAGGAGCCATTGATACTACAGGTTCAGTGCTGCGGTTCAGTGGTCACCACCCCTCTCACTGGGTAGCCCACTCTGAATCAGAGGCTCCGATACCGTGTGATGTCAGGCAATTTAACTCTCAGAGTCTGTTTCCTCGAGCAAAAAATGGATAATAATAATGGTGCCCATGTCACCTGGTCATGTGCATTCAATATTGGATAGCCTGAGAACAGTTGTAAAAAAGATAATGCATGGAAAGTGCTAGAAACATCACAACTTTCCATAAGTTAATTAATAAATTTAATGTAATACTAATAAAAATACCAACAAGATTTTAATGTTTGTAGAACTAGATAAGCTGATTGTAAAATCTCTTAGAAAAATAAACAAGAATAGCCAAGAGAGTATGGCAAAACTTTTTCAGAGTTAAACAGAGAATTACCACATGACCTAGCAATTCTACTCTAGGTGTACACCCTAAAAACAGGTGCTCAACAAGTACCTGTATATGCATGTTTTTAGCAACATTATTCATAATAGCCAAAGTGTGGGAACAGCCCAAATGTCCATCAACAGGTGGATGGATAAACAAAATGTGGTATTTGCATATCATTGAATATTACTCAGCCATAAACAGGAATGAAGCACTGACACATGCTACAACATAGATGAATATATTATGCTTTGTGAAATAAGCCAGACATAAAAGGCCACATAGTCTATGATTCTATTTATATGAAATACTCAGAATAGGCAAATCCATATAGACAGAAAGCAGATTAGTGGTTGTTGGTGGCTGGAGCGAGGGGAGAATGGAGAGTGACTGGTAATGGGTATGAAGTTTCTTTTAGAATGATGAAAATGTTTTGGAACTACATAGAGGTGGTGGTTGCAGAACATTGTGAATGTACTAAATGCCAGTGAATGTTTACTTTAAATTGGTTAATTACATGTTATGTTAATTGTGCCTCAATAAAAAAAAAAAAAAAAGGCCAAGAGAATTTTGAAAAAGCAAAATAGGAAAGACTAGGATTACCAGTAATTAAAAAACAAACAAAACTTGAATAATTAAAACATAGAATTGGCATATAAACAGACAGAAAGGTCATTGGAAAGAAACAGAAAGTCCAGAAACAGTCAGTTACATAAGGGAATTCAAATCAGTAGAGAAGGGGAAATGAGTTTTTCAAACACAGTGTTGGGACAAGTAGGTACTCTTTTAGGGAAAAAAAAATGGATCCTTACCTCGCACCTTATAGAAAAATGAATTCTACATGAATCAGAGATTTAAATAGAATATGGAACTAAGAAGTACTAGAAGAAACCATGGGATACATTTTAAAATAATAAACCCAGAAGCCAAAAAAAAAAAATCTGCATGGCAAACACCACTATAAAATTCAAAAGACAAACCACGAATGGGAAAAATATTTGCAATGCCATATATAAAGAGTTTCTAAAAATTAACAAGAAGATCAACAACCTAATAGGGAAAAAATGATCAAAAGATACAAATTGAAATGGAAATGGAGCTTCATTTACAATGAACGAAAGGTGAGTTGAAATTACATCAGGTAACATCTTTCACCACTCAGACTGGCAGGGATCAATCAGAGTTTTTGTTTTTTTTTCCCCATTGAGGCATTTTATTTGAACATATGTTTTACATCTCTAGGAAAAGAATCCCAGGATTTTCCCTCCTGTGTGTTTTCGTCCTGCTTCTTCATGGTCCATGATGCCTGCCGAAGTTGTCAGTACAATGAAACCAAACTGACAAGATGGGAAAAGGTTGTTCTGCCATTTTTCTAGATCTTTGAATCGCACATTGAATCCGGGGCTGATCACTCCACACTTGTTTGACCTGCCTGTGAGGTTCATAACAATTTTCCCAGCTCTGTGATCATCAATTATTTCAAACTCGCCAATGATGCTTCTTCATCACAGTCAGAAACCGGACGATGACTTTGGAGCACAGCCTAATGAGAACCTGGTGTTTGCCTCTCTTTTCAGCAGTGTTGATGCTCATGAGTGCATCGGCCAGGATGTTCATGCGCACCATTATGGCGGCATAGAAAGATTGTGGAAAGAGCCAATCACAGAGTTTGATGAAACGTAATTCGTGAGACTTGTGAGGAAGCACACTTTCAATCACAGCTGGCAGAAGTTAAAATTAGTTGAGCCCAATGGAGAAGAAGGTAATTTACCACAGCAGTGTTTGTAACAGTCAAAGACAACCTACAATCTATGAGTAGGAAATGACTAAATACATGATGGTGGCTCCACAAAATGGAATATTCTGGACCATGGAAAAAAATGTAATGATAAGGAAGAGTCTCCAAGATACATTATTAAATGGAAAAAAGTAAAGGGCTGAACAGAGCGGGAGGTATGGCACCATCTGTTACCCCTTTGCTTGTTTGTGCATAAACTACCTCTGTATAGGAACAAAAGTTGGCCAACATTGTGCCTTTAAGAAGGGAACTGGGAATAGGGGACCCTTCACCTTATGCCCTTTGAACCATTTGTAGTTTATACCTCTTTTAAAAATAAAGTAAAATCAAACAAATAACAAGGTATTTACACAATGCCTGACTCTCAATAAACCTCCTCACCTGGGGGGGTGAAAGGCTTGTGCACGCAGTAGGCACCTTTCACTAACTGGCAGATGATGCAAAACCAAGTGGGACCCAGCCTGAAGGCAAAACCAACCAGCCAGCCTGTTTTCCCGAAGCCCTGCGTCCCGCCTGCCCAGTGGCCACTCACCCTCCACAGTTTCCTTCATCCTGATCTTCTCTCCTGAAATGTCGTTCGACTCAATCATCTGAAAGAAGAGGCCTGTAAAGGGGACGCTCGCCTCCCCACTCTGCCCTCAGCCCCAGCCAGCCCAGTAAGCACACCCCGCCCCTACACAAGTTGACTTTCAGGTACTTGTGGCAAAAAGCACAGATGTCCTTGGTCTGGCCACCCTGACAACAGAGGACACGCCCTCTGCTCCCAACGCCCCCAAGGTTGCTTGTGCAGTTTCTGTGTGAACACCTCCTACCCCTTCCTCAATTGAAAACATCTTATATTAAACAGATGTCTCCTCTGAAATGCCTACAGAGGTTGGTCCTGGGAACATTTCCATCAACACCCAGGGGCAAGACTGCAGCCTCAGTTCCCACCCATGAAACAAGTTTTGGCTACCATGGGCAGTGTGGGCAAAGCATGCCCAGGGCTGGCTTCCACAGGGTCTTCAAGAAAGGCTGCTTCCTTTCTCTCCAACACTTCTTTTAAATAATAAACCCAGACGCCGGAAAAGAAAAGATTTAGAAAAAAAAATCTGTATGGCAGACATCAACTGGCTCCTTACTGCTTCCTCCCTCAGAAGTTTCCGTCCAAGCTGGTCCTGTCCAAGCTGGCTGTCCTCTGGGCTTGCAGTTTGCCAGAGCCTAACACTGGGGATCAGGGCAGCACAGAGCTGAGCAGGCAGTCACCTCTATCAACCTGCACCTCTTCTCACACATCCCAAGGCCTCTTTTAGTCTTAGCTTGTTGTGATTGACTAAGCCCTCTAGATCTTTACTTACATACACTGCAGGGAAAAGGAGGCACACACTAAAACATTTTTTACAAAAAAATTCCCATACTTGCTACACAAGACAAAATATCTAATTGTCTCTAGAGTTAAACCTCTGAATCTGGAAAGAATGTGGGTCCAGACCTAGGTCCCACGTGTGTGGAAATCAAGACAGGTCTTTCTGAGGTCTGTGACTGAGGACAGAGGACCATCCTGAGGCCTGTACCCCATGCTCTGTGGAACTACAGCAGCCCCAAACCTGCCCCACTATGGGAGTCCAAGTCCCGTCCCAGGTCCGACCCCTTTGCCCTGAGGAGCCAGTCAGGCCATGTGGACACAGCTAACCTGGGGCTCTTCCTTTTCTCTCTGCCCAAGATCTTGGCAGAGTGTGGTCACTCCCTGGAAGAAGAGACCTCAAGGCATGACACAGGCAGAGCTCTGTTTACAAAAAGTGTCCTGTACTTGGAACTCCTGACAACTTTTTACTTGAATGCTAAATTCTAATTTAAAAGTACAAGGGGAACTGGAAGCTGAAGAACCCCTGGGGCCTGTTAAAAGGCAATGATCATGCTGCTTTCCCTTTATATAAGATTTGACTTTTGTCATCTTCTCAGCATCCTCTGTCAGCCCTCTGGCAGCAGTGTCGGGCACGATCTCTGCCGCTGGTGGGCAGAGACCCTGGGAAAGTTACCATCTCAGGGTCTTAGTTGGCTCATCTATGAAATGCAGCCAACACTGACCTCCTGGGAGTGAAGCTGAAATGGGGCAACATAGGGCTTGACACAGGTGTGGTGCCCAGAGCCACTCAAAGGCCCTTCCCAGCTCCGCTGGAGTGGACATAGCCCATGCCACCTGGGGTCTCAGCCTCCTCAGCTAGGACGTCTAGATTTGGAGCAAAACTGATACTGGTGGCAGCACTCTCTCCAGGGCTCCCCTATCTAGCCTTCCAGACCCCACTCTGGGGACCTCCCCACTCTGAAGAGGTGGCTGTTGAACTGCTGTTCAGTCTCAGTGGGACTGGCAGAAAGGAGGACATCATCAGATACCCTAGGTCAGTGCTCGAGTTGAAGACAGGGGCCCTGGGGATGGGCAGGGCTTGTCCTCCATGTCCGTGCAAGCCCCATGGCACAGGAGCCTGCACAGTGGGACATGTCTGGGTTCAGTGGGGATTTGGGGCCTGGGAGGAAACCTGTTCTCCGCTCTGAGGTACATCTCTCTCCAGGCCTGGACTCCTCTGACCACCTTGGGTCCTCAGGCCAGCTACCTTTCTGAAAGAGGGACAAGGGGCTCTTCCTCTGAGCCTGGTGCCCCCAATCCTACATGGGCACGTATCTGGGGGTCAAGGAGAATCCTTCCCTGGGCTGGAAAGAAAAGGTCAATAAACACTTAAGCCCTTCCCAGCCAGACCCTTGTGACCATGGGGTCCTGCACAGCCCGGCAGGGGGGTGCCTGCCTACATTGGTGTGCTGGGATGAGCACAGGGACTCGACAGCTTGAAGTCTATTTTCGGCGACCAGCAGCTTCTCCCGCAGCCTCTCGGCCTCCTGCTTGCTCTGGGCCTCCGACCGCTGCAGCAGCTCATAGTCTAGCATCTTCTTCTCAGCGAGGGAGATCTGCTCCTTGAGGAACTCAATGGCCTGTGCCTGGCCCCGGTACTCCGCATCCAGCTTCTCCAGCTCATGCACCCGCAGCTCGGAGTCGCGGCGCTGGTCCTGGGCCTCCTGCAGCTCCAGCCGGTGCTGGCTGGCCTGCACCTCCAGCTGGGCCCGCCAGTGCTGCTGCAGCCCAGCCAGCTCCTCCTGGGCCTCTTGCAGCTTCTGACGCAGGCCCTCCTTCTCCTTCACGTGCACGGCAGTCTCAATGTCGTGCTTGGCCCGCAGGTTGCCCAGCTCCAGCTGGTGCTCCATCTTGATGCCCTCCATCACAGCCTTCAACTCCCCGATCTCCTTCTGCTGGGCACCCGGGCCCGAGTTCAGGGTGGCCTTGAGGTCCTCCAGGGACTTCTGGTGGTCCGAGGCCAGGGAGTCCAGCTTGGACTTCCAGTTGTCCATGAGCCCCATGTTCTCGCTGGTGGCCTGCTGGACCTTGGCCTTGAGGTCCACCACCTCTTGTGCGTACTTTTCGTTGGCAGCCCGGAGCTTCTCCACCTCCGCCTGGTAGGCCCTCAGAGCCTTCTCATACTTGTCCCGCAGCACACCGCTCTCCCTCTGGTGCTCCTTGCTGGCCGACAGCAGCCGCTCCCGCAGCCGCAGGGTCTCAGCAGCCTCGGGGTGGTCAGTGGGAGGTGGGCCCGAGTGCAGCAGGCACTGCTGCAGCTCCTCGATCTCACCGCGCCGCAGGTTCAGCTCCTCCTCCAGCTGCAGCACCCGAGACTTCTCTGCCACTGTGGTCAGCTACCAGAGAGAGAGGGAGACAGGGGTCAGCAGGACGGCTGGAGGGCGAGGGACACAACAGTAGTATGCGGGGGGGGAGGGGGGTGTCCTACCACTCAAGGGCCCCAGCCCCTGCGGGGAAAGGTCGTGGGAAGGGAAGGGCACCCACTCCTCCCCGAATGCTGGTTTTTCTCAGTGGCCCTGCCCACCACAGCTCCCAGAGAAACTCCCCAGCTTGTACCTCAGTGACTCCCCAGCTTGTACCTCAGTGATTCAGGGAGTCAACTGTCCCTGCTTCCCTAGGTTTGGGGCAAATTAATTTACGGCTTTCCTTCAGTTCATGTTATTTTTAAAAGGCAGAGATGACAGAGGGAATTTTGCACTATCCTGCTCTAGAAGGGCTCCCAGCCAGAATGGGCTGGTTCAGAGGGGCTGTCTGGAGGGGGTGGCTGAAGAAGGGTTGGTTGAATGCCTAAAGCAGAACAAAATCAATGCTCCCGGACCTGCCTTCTGATGGGAAATGAGATCAGAGGCTCCGTCCTCCAGAAACCCACACCGTGATAAAGTCAGCGGTCACAGATTTGGAAACAATATATGTAAAAGTTTTAAATCTTTTACGAGCTTAAAAATTTTTGTTTTCGAAGCTGATCTTTAGTTCAATAAACCTGTTTTTGTTTTTCAATCAGGTTGAACCCTAGATCAAGATGCCTCAACACCTGGGATGGGGTCAGTTTCTGCAAGTAGCCTCTGCATATACTTGTGTACTGGAGAAGTGCACGCTGTCACTGGGCAACAGTCAGTGGGTGTAAAAGGACTTCTGTGTGTCTCCAGATGCCCACATGCATGCACACACACACACACACTCCCTGTGTGCTGAGGCCGAGGTGCAGAAACTGACAGCCGCTCGCCACCCTCCCCCCCCGCCCCACACTGTTTATATCCCAATCCCTGCTTGCTGGGTGTTTAGCGCCATTGCCAGGAGAACAGCAGCTGGGCTGTTCACTAGGCTAGACAGGCCAGCAGTTCGGATGTGTGGGCCTGCACAGGGCGCAAGCCCTGGGACATACATGGTGGTCATGGAGGGGCCAGTTAGGCCTGGAGCCTGGACTTGGAACCAGGCCCTGGGACTCAGGGGACCTCACTCCCAATCAGAGCTTTCCCTAGCCTAGAAATCACTCCCTGACCCATCATATCATAACAGCCCGACCCTGGAGCTGAAACAAAAACCCATGTCCTGGGGACACCCCCGCTCCCCCAGCCCTAAATCCTTCAGGCTGGGACCTCCTGCCAACATATTTAAGACAGCCCCCCGCCCCAGGCTAGAGAAACCTGGATCTACAGTCCCCCAACTTCCAGCCTTCCCCAGCTGAGAGAAGGGAGGCATGGAGAGGTCGTTTCCATGCCCGCCCACAGAAGGGGCAGACTGTTCCCAAGAGCCTCCCCATTTCTGAACACGACAAAGCCTTGTCATGGCAATGCATGAGGAGGTAGGAAGGCGGAGGATCTCACAGAACATTCCCAGCCAGTGGAACTGGCTGGGGAGCAAAGTCACAGAGAGCCAAGCCCCCTCCTCCCCAGTAAGCATCACGTGGCAGTGGAGTGGAAGCACGTTCCAGAACCTCTACTTCCCTCCTAGAAAGGGAGCAAAAGCAAAAAAATGAGGATAGCAGCCAAGGACAGAGAAAATAATAAAACAGAGGAGCCCCAGGGGCGTCGACAGGCCAGGGCGCTGATGGGCCAGAGATGGTAGGCGCGTTACCCTGTTGTCCGCTAATTCTCGGAGCAGCCGCTCAGCCTGCGCCTTCTCCAGTAGCAGGCTCTGCTCCAGCTCCCCAACGCGTGCGTGCTCCAGTTGCGTCTGGGTCTGGTCCACCCGGGGTGGGTGGGGAGATTGGGACAGGGCAGAGGGCACAGGGAAAGGAAGCCGGAGGAAGAGAGAAAGAGAGAGAGAGAGAGGCAGCGTCATCTACCATGAACAAGACAGGAGAACAGGTCGAGAGGAGGTAGCTCGGGCAAAGAGAGGAAGTCTGGGTAGGTGTGATGAGGTGGGCCTGTCACCTGCCCCTCAGTGTCCTGGCTGGCTTTCTTTAAGGGCAGAGGACAGGCTGCAGCAACCCTGTCCAAACTGGCCCCTGGTTGAGCTGGCAATGGGTACCCTGGGTCACTTTTGTCACCCTCAGGTGGCCCTTCCCCTTGCGCCTGGGGAGGAGCCCATCCTGCTCCTCCATCACATGGGGAGGCTGAGGGTGGTTTTTCATTTCAGGCACAGGATCCTGCACACAGGAGGCCCCCAGGGTGGGTGAATGAGTAATGACCCCAGGATTCCTGGCCCTAGGCCTGTGCTGAAGGTGGATGAACCAACTGAATGGAAGGTTTTCAAAAATATATACCCACAGCATGATGATTCTCCTGGCCTGGCCTCCCTGGTGGAGGCCGAGCCGTGCCACCCATAGCCCAGCTCTAGCCCAGCCCTGTCAGTACCCACCCCCGGGGTCCTGCAGAGGATGCCTGGCCTTCAGAAAACACAAGGGCACTTTTGTCCCAGCTTCACAATCCCCACTTCACACTCTAACAAAGCCCACCATTCTCTGGGAGTCCAGACCGGCATCTGGGTTTCCCTAACAGATCTGCGAGCACCCAGAGCAGTCTGGAGACCAAGTTCATGGTAGGGAGAAATAAGAGGATCCTCCTCATCCTCCTGTTTGTCCCATCATCATCCAGGAGAAACAAGGTGAAATGAATCTGTGTGGCAGCTCTGAAAAGAGGGCTTAGCAACATAGCATACATGTGTAAAAACAAGAACACACCCCCAGTACTGGCAAGGTGATGGTGATGACAGGGTAAGCTGATACCACCTGTCCCAGAAATACTCTTGTAATTCATCAAGAGTTACAGAGATGTTCATGTCCTTTGGCCTATGACCTTATTTCTGTGAATTTTCCTAAAGGAACAATTAAAAAGTTCCCTCTCCCTGCAGTCCCCAAAAGCAGCCACATTCAGGTCTCTCCCAGAAAATTACAGGCTCCAACCCAGGCCTCGTAGGGGCCATGTCCCCACCCTCCTCTCCCACTGCGGGGCACAGCAGCTCTGCCAAGGACCCGCGCTAGATGGAACATGATTCTTTATCCTGTACTGGTGGCCTCATGGGGTAAGAAGAAGCCCCTAGCTTCACAATTTCAAGGCAACATCATGTGGTGCCCCCCGAAAAGACTTTCTCATCACTTTCAGAACTTCCAGCCTCCTGGTCTGTAGGCCGGGGTCTCCGTGGGGATGTACGGGGGCCCAGAGGAATTGCTTCCAGTGCTCACTTAAGATAAAGTCAACACAGGAGGTTAGGGTGGGAAGGTACAGCCTCAGAAGCTAGATTTTAGGTGAGGTGGACAACCTGGCCTTCCATTCTGTACCAGGGACACTGCCCAGGGTGTGAGGAATGGGGGCCGCCACACTCCTGTATCAGTCACTCGTGTCTTCTGGAGTTAATATTCATATGACACCGTCAAGGCAGTCTTCCCCTCTCACAGGAGAGAGAAGCCACTCCAGAGAAAGCCTCAGGCTCAGAATCATGGGGCAACTTTGAGCAGCATGAGGCCCAGACCTCTGGATCCCGGAACTGGCGCCTTTCCCCGAATCAGCCTGACACTCCACAGAGGAGGCCCAGGTTTTCGGCAGCCACCCAGGGCAGTGAAGCCAGCTCTTGAAGTGGGGGACTCCTCGTTTCTCTGCCCCAACTCAAATCCCAGAAGCTTGGCCCAGCGCCGCCTGAGTCCTTGACCAGCAGCGTTTCCCTACCCACCTCACGTGCACTGTGTCTACTCCCTGCTCCAAAGCACACAGCCTTGCCTTGGGGCGTTATTATTATATTTAACTATTAATTATTATTAACTAGTTGGGAGAGGAGTTTCCTCAACTATAGGAGGGGCTCTTGAAGGTCATGGGCACATGTCACTCCTCTTGATGAGGAAAAAAGGTTTAAGATGAATTTTAGTTGTGTGGCCTGAGGGGGGGCATAGGAACAAATGGAGAGATCTGTTTGGGACATGTTACATGTGGGATGCTGTACTGAGTGAATAGCATCCCCCAAATTCCAGGTTCCACTTGGAACCTCAGAGTGTGACTTTATTTAGAATAGGGTCTTTGGACATGTAGCTAATTAAAATGAGGTCATTCTAGATTTAGGTAAGCCTGAAATCCAATGACTGGTGTCCTTATAAGACCTCGTGAAGAAACACAGGAACACAGGGAAAAAAGCCATGTGATGATGGGGGCAGTGATGAGGTCATTCTAGATTTAGGTAGGCCTGAAATCCAATGGCTGGTGTCCTTATAAGGCTTCGTGAAGAAACACAGGAACACACAGGGAAAAAAGCCATGTGATGATGGGGGCAGTGATGCAACTATAAGCCGAGGGCACCAAGCGTGGCCAGCAATCCCACCGAGCTGGGAGAAAGGCATGGAGCATTCTCCCCCAGGGCCTCCAAAGGGAACAACACCTTGATTTCAGACTTCTGGCCTCCAAAATTGTGAAAGAATACATTTGTGTTGTTTTAAGCCACTAAATTGTGGTAATTTTTTTTAACTGCAATCCTAGGAAACCACTACAGGTACCTGTCACTTACTTGCCCTGGAGATGTCCAGTAGGCATGTGAGTACGGAGCTTGGGGTAAGACAAAGGGAATCGTGGACTTATAAAGGGCAGTTAATGCCGAGGCATGTGAGTACGAACATGTCCAGTAGGCATGTGAGTAGGCATGTGAGTAGGCATGTGAGTAAGACCAAGGGAATCGTGGACTTATAAAGGGCAGTTAATGCCACAAACTAAAAGCTCTCAGACTGGGTGTAGACTGAGATGAAATGGGCCTGGACTGGGCCCTCAGGCAGGCCAACATCAGAGGTCAGGAAGGAGGCTGAGTGGCTAGAATGGGCACCTCATGTGGTTGGGGAGTGAGGCCAGAAGGAGTACAAGCAGAGAGATGGGGTAACATAATTGGAGGGGGACCAGGAGCTCAACGAGGTGTTCTAGGTTTTATTTTCGTCTTTAAGGTGGGTGAGGATGAGTGAAACTTTGGGTCAATTTGCCTTCTGGTTGCCATGAATATGGTCACAATAGAAACAGAAGCAATAGCACTCTACTGCTCTTGAACTAGATTAGCTGTCAGTCACTGTCTGCCCCACCTCCTGCTTCTTCCAACCAGGACCAATTGGATCTTGGGTGGACAGCTGATCCAAAGCCAGCCAGCCTATTGGCTAGCCTGGGACCAACCAGATTCTCTCAAGAGGACACCTAGTAGATGGTGGGTGCTGGAGCCTGGGTGGGGCCTGGAGGGTGGGTGGGTAGCAAGGGAGAGGGAGCAGATGTGCCAAGGGACGTGAAGACATAGTAAGAGGGACAGACAGACATACAGCCTGACCACAAGTCATGAGAAGAGGCCCCTGAGCCAGAGAGAATGGGCTTGGTTCCTGATGCTATTTCTTGTTCCAGTACCCTGAACTACCTGTGAGATTTCCCTGTAGCTGTTCTCTCTGTTGACTGGAGTTAGTAGGTGAGGTCTCTGTTCCTTGTACCTACAGACGATTTTTCCCGAAGCCCACTCCAGCCCCTGCAGGAAGCAGCCACCCAGAGGGAAAGCCAGCTAAACATAACCACATGACCTACCCCCTGGGCTAAGAAGGAAACATCCATGAGAACACCCTGACGCTGGGCTGGGGCTCCTACATCAGGCTGGGCATCCATCCTTTAAATTCGGGCAGCAAAACCTGCTCTAACAGGGGCAGCTGGCAGTGACCCTACGCAGATCACACGTCCCTCCCCTCGCTGGGGTCACCTAGGGACAGGACAACCATATGCATACTTTTGCTGCACACTGGAAGTTATAGGGGTCTTAATATGGCTCTTTTACAAAATCAGAAACTGCAATTTCCCATTTGACCCCAGAATGATCTAATGCAATGATTCCCAAAGTGATCCCTAGACCAGCATCATCTAGGAACTAGTTAGAAATGCAAATTCTCAGATTCCACCCAGACTTACTGAACGGCCACTCTGAGGTTGGGGCCTACCTTTTGTATCTGAACAAGTCATCTAGGTGATGAATTCTCAAGTTCGAGAATTACTGACCTAGTGCAACCTCCTCATTTTACAGAAGAGCAAACTGAGGCATAGGAAGGAAGGAAAGAGGCTACCCAAGGCCAGTTAGGGCCAGCTCAGCATGTGGAGAGGGAATTAACTCACTGTCCCCTGCCCCATCTGACAGCTCCAGGAATCCTTGTCCCTTGTCAGCTCCCAGGGAGCGGAGAGGGCCACAACTGTTCCTGCCCACCCAAATGTGGTCTCATGAGCCCTGCGGTCTCTGCATGGTTTGGTGAGGAGGGCTGCATTAATAAAGCAGGTGGGGTGCTTTATTAATTAATGTGAGCACCCATCCCTCAGCTGAGAAAGGGTGGGTTGGACTGAAGAGTGAAAGGTCCAATTGTGCCCAGACCCCTTGTCTAGGTGTTATAACCAAAGACGTGCTATATAGCCATCCTTACAGGCTGAGCTCAGGAGTCAGGAGTCCTGGTCCCTGGTCCCAATGGCTGCTGACTTGCTCCATGACTGGGTGAGTCTCTGTCTTTCTGAGTCTGTTTTCTGATCTATAAATTCTGTGACTCAACGACAAGCTAATTTTAGCCAAAATTTTAGTTCGAATCCAAGATGAACTAAGGGCTCAAGGGATACCTTTAATGCTATTGCCCAACAAGTAGGGACAGGGGTGTCCAGCCAACACTTCCTCAGGCCCAACCCTGTGGATACCCTTGGTCTATACCACCCAGTGGCTGATACAGGAAGCACGGCCCTTCAGGGTCCTGGACCTGAGCCATTCCTACCTCTGATACCTGAGTCTCATGACAAAACCCCTCCCCACTCTCCCAGGGCACGACCTTTGACTTTTCCTTATTTTTCCCTTGAAATCCCCACAGCCTCCTCCCAGGGGGCCTAGAGTTGCTGCCTGGACCTCGTGGCCATCTGCCCTGCAAGGGCTGGGCCTGGGGTGTCAAGTGAGCCGGGGGCAGGACCTTTGACCGTTACCTCCAGGTCTCCCTTGGTGATGGACTCCTCCTCCACTCGAAACTGCAGGTCCTCCACCTTCCTGTGAGGGGGGAGAGGGGTCTGAGCAGGCTTTGCCCAGAGTGTTGGGTTTCCCCAAGTCAGTCATGACAGAGAGGTGAGGCCACAGATGGCCCAGAGTCCACACGCAGACCACGCAAAAAGCACTGTCCCCGTGAAACAGGACCTGCCCAGGGCCCCACGGCAGATGATGCAGAGCCTCCTGCAAACCTCCAGCCTTCTTCACGTCCCAACCTGTACTCCACGCAGAGGCCACCGACTTCTCTAACATGGGAGTGTTTAATGCAACATCCTTCCTCTCCAGGCTGGTTGTGGGAACAAATGATGGAATGATTGTAAACGGAAGCAGAGTGATGCTAGTAACCACTGCGTGTTCATCATTGAAGGGAACAGACGCTGTCACGTGGAACAGTCTGTGTGTGCGGGGCGGGGAGGAAGGTAAGCTTCTTCCCCTGCTAACCCTGCTCTCAAACACAGGCCTCAAAACCAGGGGCCAGAATCGCAATCTCCACTGCTCCCTGATATGGAGGGGGCCACCCTCAGGGAGACATATTCACCCTCTCGCGTGCCAAGATAGCAGAGGGGAAACACAGGCACGTTACAGCTCCGGACAGCTACCAGAATACAGATTTAAGGGGCGGCTTAAGGGGTGAGGACACTGAAGCCCAGAAAGGGCAAGTGACCTGCCCAAGGTCATCCAGCAAGTACAGGGCAATGCTGGGACTTGTACCCAGGCCCTTCCTGAACACAACTCCCACAATGTCTTAAAGATCTGTTTTTGTTTGTTGGCATCAAGCACATTGCCATGGGAACCAGATGTGTGGGCCCTGACGAGGGAGTGTCTCAGGCAGATATAAATAAGCCCTACTGTCCCTAGTCAGACTGCAAGAACAGCCTGTGCAGCACATGCCTCACTGCAAGTCCCCAAACAGACCCCAGGGTTGGGGGCTGAGGATGGGGGCTGCCTACTGCGCAAAGAAGAAGGAGCCGCAGAAATCTGTGTCCGCCAGGAGACAAAAAGAGGCTCCTGGACCAAGGAAAACCCTGTTCTTTGTCAGCAATGTGTCCCATCAGGTCAAGGACCAAGCTAGGCCAGAGTCCTCACACAGAGGGAACCACAATCCCGACTGGCTACTGTGACAGGGCTGAAAGAACCAGCATCACCACTAATAGCTTATCAGCAATGTGTCCCATCAGGTCAAGGACCAAGCTGGCCAGAGTCCTCACAAAGAGGGAACCACAATCCCGACTGGCTACTATGACAGGGCTGAAAGAACCAGCATCACCACTAATAGACTGGTGGCCTCAGGCATGGCCCTTCCCTGCTCTGATCCTCAGTTTTCTCATCTGTGACATGGGGTATTACCTGCCCCCCAGGCTAATGGTAAGACTGAGAGATGAAGGTAAAGCACTCAGCACGGGGGCTGACACCCCGGCGTTTCAAGTGTCCTTTTGCTGCTGCTTCTCTGAGCCTCAGTTTCCTGACGTGAAATGAGAATATGAGCTCCATACATGGGGCCTGGCCCAGAGGGTTGCTCTGCGGACCTGAGCTGGTAAGGGGTAGGGACATTGGGTCTTCTTCAAGGTGCATGCCTCCCAAGGACAGCGGGTATGAGAGCCTTCCCCATAATACGCTGCATGAGCGGAGCATGGCAGGAACAGTGAGCCCCATACGGTTGGAAAGGAAAGAAGTAAACAAGTGTGGTGTCCTCCATGTGGTTAGCACCATGCTAGTGCTTTACTGGAATTATCTTCTAAGTCTTTCCAACACCCTGTAGAGATGCGGATCCCCACACCACTTTACAAACGAGAAGACTGAGGCTTGCAGAGCTCATGTCACTAGTTCAGGTGACACAGCCTGTAAGTGGTGGAGGCAGGGTTTGCACCTGGGCCTGCTGGTCCTGAGTCAGTACTCTTCACTGTCATCTTTAAGGAGGCTCAGAGAAAGTGTCCTCCTAGGACCAGGGCAGGGGCGGCACGTACCTCCTCTCCTCCTCTAGCTGGTTGGACAGGTCCACCTTCTCCTTCCGTACGCTCTCCACCAGGAGCCGGGCCCGCTGCAGCTTCTCCTCTGCTTCTGCAACATACTGGGCCCCGAGCAAGGGCCAAGACAGGGTCAGCCTCCTCCTGGGGACCAAGGGCCAGGTGGCAGAGGGGTAGGAAAGAACGGGGAGGAGTTGGGCCTGGAACCCTTGCCACCTCTATTCTCCTGCCAGCCCTAGCCGGGTGTGGACAGTGGGCCTGATGTGAGGGAGGGTAGGCCTAGCTGAGTGCCTCAGGTCCACCTGTTTCCATACCTAGCACCCCAATATCTGCCACCTCCTTCAACTTCCAAGGGCCTAAAACCCTTGTCTTGTGAAAGCCCCTGTCACAGCACACATGGGACCTAGAACACACACTTGAGCTTGGCCTTATTAATTCTAGCACAGAGGGAGAGGTGAGTTGGCCCCAAATGGGATAAGGGCCCAGGAAGTGCTCTCATGCAGGTGACAAATATCAGGGAAGAGTAGACATGTGACGGTAGCTGAGTCAAGGCTACAGACAATGGCTTACTTCTCTAAACCCAACCCATGAATCTGCTTGAAAGCACAATCTGAAATATGGACAGTTATATACAAAAAAATACATACAGTATTATTTAGATAAAGTCAGAAATCGGAAACAACTTAAACAACAGCAGGGGACTGGCCACATCAGCAAGTCATAGCCTGTGACAGGTAGCAACACAGCCATTGAAACAGGGAAGAATTTTCCTCGACCTAGGAAATGCTCATACTAAGAAAGTAGGAAAAAGCAAGATATAGAGTTTATTGCTGGGTTCTGAAAGTATGTGTACTTATCCACTGGAAAGAAATTCACCAGGAGGAGGAGAAGGGGTGTTGGTAATGCACATCTTAGTCTTCTCTGTATAACCAAGCTCTCCATTCTGAGCACGAGTGACCTACAAGCCTGGCCCGAGGAGGCTATTTGTGCCGTCTGGGTGTCTACTGCCCCACTTACCCACCTACCTGCTCATGCTGCGCTTTGAGCAGGGCGATCTCCTTCTCGACCTCGCAGATGTGGCTCGTGGCCTTGGCCACCTCGGCCCGCTCCAGGTCCCGTTCAGCTAGCAACTGCTCGATGTGCTGCTGCTTCTCCTTCAGCGCCTCTTGCAAGGCAGTTGTGCCGGAGATCTTGCGGGCGTAGCGTGAAGAGGTCTCTGTGAGCTGCAGGAAGGTGTGGGTACAGGCGGAACTCAAGAATCTGGAGCACCTCCAGATCACTCACAGCTACCCAGCAGGTGGGGGGCCCAAGTGCCTCCACTCCCAAGGTCCTGCTCCTCCCGCTGCCAGTGCCCTCCTGTTGCTTGGCTGCTGCCTACTTACGTAGGGAGAAGCGTATTATTTCAGGTTCAGGGAACTACCCCTTCCCAGGAGAGTCACAGCTCCTGGGCTCTGCCTCATGGTGGGTTTCCTCACCTGGGCCACCTTTTCCTGGGCCAGGAGGAACCTCCCATCCTAGACCAAGCTTGGATACAAGGCTCTCTGCCCGGAAGGGCAGCCTCACCTTCTCTCGTCACCCTCAGTGGCTGTGGCAGCCTTTTTGAACCCCCTGCCCTGCCCTGTATGACCTGCCCTGCATCTGTATGACCCTCCTTAACTCCCAGGGAAAGGCTTAATCTTAGGCTACTGACAAATCAGTAATATAAAAATAATAATAATAAATGAATCAATTTGCTTATTAAAAGATACACACTTTCATCATTGTTCAACAACTGCAAACTGAAGGATTCCTGGAGCCAGAGCAGGTCAGGGGCAGATTGGAACGCCTAGATCCTTCTGACCCTACCCCCCATACACACACGAGAGTACCCTACCCCAGCCCCATCCTCACCAAGCCACTGCGGCTGGGCCGGCCCCCCACAGAGGAAGCCACAGAGCTGACAGAGCTAATGGAGGAACTGCTGGGACTGTGGGTCAGCGCTGAGACACCCATGGCCATACGTTTGGTCTTCTTGGCCTTGGCAGGGCTGGTGGATGGGAAGCCGATGCGGATCACCTTATGGATGGGTGCGAACAGACCAAACTTGGGTGGGCACTGGAAGTACCTGAGGAGGCAGGAGAGACCCACATGCTGTCATGGCTGAATAGCCTGGAGCCTCCCCTGCCTTATGCACCTCTTCAAAGCCCAGCAGAAAGGCTCATCCTTGGGGCCCTATCACCCACAACACAAGACCAACAGATGGGACTCCTAGAAAGGGGATAAAGGTCAGTAGGGCCTGAGTTTCTCTGTAGCTACGAACAGCCATTGGGCATATTTCTGGGGACTGGTGGAATAACGATTATCGAGCACTCGCTCTGTGCCAGTCCCTTTTCATGAATGCTCATTTCAATTCCCCAACCACTCTATTGTTATCTACATTTCACAGGTGAGGAGACCGGCTCGGAGAGATTAAGTAGCTTGCCCACAGTCATACAGCTGGTCAAGTGGCAAAGCTGTGACTGGACCTCCCCGCCCCCACAGTCTGCTGGGCTCCAAAGGCGACTATGCTTTGCTCCCGCATATCATTCAGAGGCCTCCAACTGTATATGCAGCCCCATTTCATGGCTGCTCTTGGACCACCCAAGACTCAAGGAACCCCATCAGCTCTCCGCCCAGGGAGCTCCCTGCATGGAGAAGCAAAAGCTGAGGGAGATACCTTGGGGGTGCAGTGGGGGCTGCCGCCCAACCTGCCCCTGAATTCTAAAAGCTAGAGTGAGCTGAAAGAAACATCCATCTTGAAAACAGGAAGGCAGTGTCGTCATGGAAACTCTAGGTGGTTTTCTTCTCTCAAAACCTGTCTGGTCATGGAGTCCTTATGGGACCAGGTGAGCTAGTCGTGTCCAGTTTCTGATTCACTTTGACTGCCATCCCATCCCAGCTCTTTGCGAATTCAGGTCTTTGCTTGGGCTATCCCCCCAACCTAGCATACTTTCCTCCTCATAGCTGTCACAGCCTCATCTGGGCTGCAGAACCGAGCCCAGGGACAGACAGCACAGGAACTTAGGCCACGTGGCCTTAGTCTCACATCCCTAACACTGTTCACCCATCGCATCATGCCCCCTGCCCCCAACAAGCCCAGACAAAGCCTTAGACTCTTGATGCAGCATTCCCGGCAGTCACTTCTCTTTAATCAGAGACGGTATGGGACCTAGAACCAGTTGTGACCTCACCTTGTCTGTGGAGCACCAGTCACTGTCTTATTATTTCTTTTATCAGTAGAGGAACCCCTGGAAGGCAGTGACCACTGCCTCTCCTAGTATTTGTCCCTGACTCTGTGTGACCTTGAACAATGACCTCTCTGGCCTCTGTTCTCTCATCTATAAAACGGGGCTGATATTCTCACCACCTGCCTCTGTGGACTGTTGTGACAGAAGGGAAGAGGCAGCATCTACACTGTGGTGTCTGGCACAACCACCCAGACATTCAACACTGGCTTCTTCAAATGCCCCATCCCTGTCCCACACTCCCAGGGGAAGGCCACTGTACCTGGTGCCTGCCACCGCCCCATCATTCTTCCCAAGGGGCTCATCCAGCTCCACGCCACACCACTCGCCCTTGGCAAAGTCCGTCTCCCCCACGTACCGCACCACACCAGTCTTTGTCCCGCCAACCTGTTGGCACAAAGAGAGACTCAGGTCCAGAAGATGCAGTGGGCACAGGCAGAGATGGCACAGGCGCCCTGGTGCTCAGCCTCATCCCATCGTCCCTTCCAGCATGCAGGGGAGAGAGGAGCCAGGTTGAGGAAGGGGAGAGGCCTAAAGACAGCTGGGAGGAACAGTCTAGTCAGTGCTTCCTGGGGCTGTCCCACGCAAGGGCTTCGGAAACAGACAGACCTACATTCAAACTCTGCCACTTACAAGCTGTGTGAACCTGGACAAGTTATCTAACCTTTCTGGGCTTCAGCATCTTCATCTGTAAAATGGGTTTTTGTGAGGATTAAGTACTGTATGTGCACTGTCTGGCACATACTAGAGTCTCGGTACATTTCATCCTTAAAAAAATGGTTTAAAGGGTGGTAGCCAGGGGTTGGGGGAGGGGGAAATGGGGAGTTGTTTAATGGAAATAGTTTCAGTTTTGCAAGATGAAAAAGATCTGTAGATCTGTTGCACGACAATGTGAATACATTTAACACTATAGAACTCCACATTTAAAATGATTAAGACGGTAAATGTTATGTGTATTTTATCACAGTTTAAAAAAATTTAGTGAGGCGGTAAGTACGAATATTACTGTAAAATCAGGTAAAATTTTTTAATTGAAATTTTTATACATAAAGATTCAAATCTTCCTAAAGACTTAGAAAGCCCTAGAAGTTTCTCCACCTCTCCCCAGAAGCAAACACTTTAACTTTTTTTTTAATTCAATATTTAATTGTTCACGTGGGTTAATATGAGTTAACATGTTAGATTATTGCAATGGCAGTTCAAAAATACTTTAACTCTTTAAGGTGAATTTTTGGTATTTATTTACCATATTTCTAACTAACATGCTTATATTGCTACGTCTGGCATTTTCGATTTTGAACGCTCTCCACTGACCTCCCGTCAAGGAAGGGGAGGCGCTAGTGCCCCATTGCGACTGCTTCACAGTCCCAGTCTTCTGCTCTTCTCCACACAGCGACGTCTTAAATTTCATCAGATCTGGGTTCACGGTGCTCGTGCCCCATTACGACTGCTTCACAGTCCCAGTCTCCTGCTCTTCTCCACACAGCGACGTCTTAAATTTAATCAGATCTGGGTTCACGGTACTATGACTAATAAACACCGCTCGTGGATGAGAACGGGAGAGTGGTTACTCTTCCTTTCTCACACAACTTTTAAACTACGGATAACGGTCTTTTATGATTGTTTGCTTAGTTTTCATGAATTTAACAGTACTTCGACCCCAAACCCCCAATAGTCTAAGTCTGCCAAGATGTTCAGTAGCATTGGAAATTCCATCCAGTTCTTTCTACTAATACACACCGCTCGTGGATGAGAACGGGAGACTGGTTACTCTTCCTTTCTCACACAACTTTTAAACTACGGATAACTGTCTTTTATGATTGTTTGCTTAGTTTTCATGAATTTAACAGTACTTCGACCCCAAACCCCCAATAGTCTAAGTCTGCCAAGATGTTCAGTAGCATTGGAAATTCCATCCAGTTCTTTCTGAAGAAGACTTTCCGGTGGCTTTGTGACCAGCTACAGGGTGGACTGGCTGCCGGCTCTTCAGCTTTGAGGCTACCAGCCAGGGGCCTCTTGTCACCATTACACTGAGAAGTCCCTTTGCCTCTCTTCTGGGCTGGATCCTGTTTCCTGGATTCTATGTCTTCTTTTTTTTCCCGGTTTACTCACTTATTTTGGTAGAGCACATCCTCCCATAGCTTTCTTAGAAAACATGTATGAGAAAATAAGATACTTGAGCCTCCGCTTATCTGAAAATGTTTTTTATTCTATCCTCATTTTTTAAAAATTGAGGTAAAATTCACATAATATAAAATTCACCATTTTAAAGTGTACAGCTCAATGGCTTTTAGTATGTTCATGACTATCGCTGCTACTAATTCCAGAACATTTTCATCACTTCCAAAAGAAACTCCATACCCAATAGTGGTCACTGCCCGCCTCTCCCCAGCTTTTGTCATCCACTAATCTACTTTCTGTCTCCATCTCTATAGATTTGCTTGTTCTGGATGTTGCTTATAAATGGAGTCACACAATAAATGACCTCTGTGTCTGGCTTCTTTCATTTAGCACAGTGTTTTCCAGGTTCATCCATGTTTATCAGTATCAGTATTTCCTTCCTTTCATGGCTGAATATTTCATTGTATGGATTATACCACCTATTGTTTATCCATTCATTCACTGATGGACATGTGGGTTGTTTCCACTATTTGGTTATTATGAATAATGATGCTGTGAATGAACGTTCATGTCTAAGTTGTTGTGTGAACACCTGCTTTCAATTCTCTTGGTACCCTCGCTCATGAATGATAGTCTGGTTGGGTCTCTTCCTTCAGGATTTCGAAGGCTCCCTCTGTGTGTTTTAGGAGTCCAGTGTTGCTGTTGAGAAGTACAAAGCCATTCTGAGTCCTGATCCTTTATGTGAGCCAGTCTTTATGCAGGGTCCTTTGTCCGAGGGTTGTGCTGTGTCACAATGAGGTGCGTTGGTGTGGGCCTCTTTCCATCCCTTTTCCTGGGCTCCCAGGGGCCTCTTCAGTGAAGAAACCTTTGTCAGTCCGAGGGGATCTTCCTGGATTACTTATTTGGCTTCCTGCCTCCTTTTCCTCTGTTCTCTTTCTGGATCTATTGGACAGGTTATCTGAAAAGTTTTCTTCTTTTCTCTCATTCTGCATATATCTTTTGGCTCTACTTTCTGGAAGATTTCCTTAAATTTATCTTCTGATACTTCTGTGGAGTTTCTTACATCTGGAATCAGACTCTTCATTTCCCAGAGCTTTTTTGTTCACTGAATATTCATATTTATACATTCGATGGTGTTCTGTAAGGATTTAATGCCTAATTTACTTGTTTCTCAGAGCCGGCCGTTTTTCCCCGGAAAAAGCTTCTCACACTCTGTCCAGCGTGGAGAGCACAGGCTTGGCAGCCCCGCCTCCCAGGAGCCAAGTGAGGAAGAAGCCGGTGGGGAAAGGGGCTCAGCTTTCAGGATAGAAACGTTCATCTCTTCCTTCTCAGTCCAACCTGCCTGGGATTTTCCCATCCAGCCCCTCTTTGACTGTCTTAGGAAACCAAACATCCATTCCAGAGGCCTGCTGGAGGGGTGGTCAACAGGCAGAGTGAGACAGGGCCAGGGATGGGGAGCTGCAGGTTTTTAGACCGATTCTCCCATTTCTGGCCCTGACGTCAGCCCCATTTCCAGAGGCTGAGTCCTGCAGCTAACTCCTGAGCTTCTGAGGCTTCCCAAGGAGACATTGACTACTTCTCTGCTTCCCTCCTGCTGCCTGTGGACTTGGTGACACTGGATTTCCAGTGTTACTGCTGCTGTCTCCTCTCCTGTTCTCTTTGTCTTTGAGGGTTTGATAGCTTTTTAAAAACACTCCCTTCACTGCC